ATTGTCTTATGTGACCCTCAAAACAGTCCCGTGCCAGCTGAGCAAACAGAGGCTCCCCGAGAGAAAGCAGTGTGCCCACCGCCGCACACCCTACGCGCCCAGAGCAGGGGCTGCACCTCGCCTGCTGGACCCCAGACGCTGCCCCGCCCTGCTGCCCACACAGGCAGGATGGAGCTTTCAGGGGGTGGGCGAGGCACTCCAGGAAGAGGACACAGTGCAGGCAAAGGCCTGGAGCTGGACAGGGGTGCGGCCAGGACAAAGAGGCCCGGAGCAGTCGGGGGGGCTGAGCGGCATGGAGGGCAGGGCCATGGTGACCCGTGGTTCTGCGGTGGGCCGGGCCTGTGGAGGCGCAGTCATGCGTGCCGACCCCAGGCGGTGTGTCGGGGCCAAGGGGAGGAAGCAGGAGCTGATGCGGGTCAAGGCCCTGGCACTGGGCTCAGGCCTGCCACAGAGGGGCATTGTCCCTGGGCATCAGGCGTGGCCGGCTGGAGAGCCCAGGAGGGGTGTTTGCCTCTCTGGAGATGTGCCCAGGGTCTGGCAGGGTCCCTCCTGGAGGCCTCTCTGGCTCCCAGGGCGTCTCACTGTTAGGTGTTCGGGGCCTTTGGCGCATCTGCAAACATGGCAGTGGGGCAGATGCTCCTGCCTTGTTCCCTCAACAACTCCAGGAAGGGGAGATCAGCCAGGGCCTGGCCACATGCTGTGTGGCCCCACGGCACTCACTGCCCCTCTGTTGTGCCCCCACACATGGAGACAAGATTCAGCAATGGCCCTCCCAGCTCCAAACCACAATCCTGGCTTCTAGACTGAGGTCGGGCAGCAAGGATGCTTCCCCAGATTGTGCCAAAAGGCCATGTTTGGTCCCACCCCCCAACACTCACCCAGAGTCACTGAGGAAGGACAGCATGGTGGTACAGAGCGTGTGGTCTGGACTAGACAGTTGGGCTCAAGTCCCAGCTCTGGCACCCCTGGCCATGGGACCTACAGCCAGTCACTCACCTCTCTGACCTCAGGCACCCTCAGCAAACCCAGGGCTGCTGACTCGCCTCTGGGTGACTGTGCAGGCTAAGGGAGCCGAGTCCTGCACCCAGGCGGTGGGTGATAGGGGTGCTGTGGGCTGTCCATTTGTCCCCTTGGTTCACGGTCCTGCCTCATTATTCACTCACTCCACAAATATTCACTGAGAGTCCTGAAGACACAGGCAAGGCAGAGTAGATGCCAATTGCCGTCGAATGAATGAATAAAAGCACATGCTAGGGCCGGCCCCGTGGCTTAGCGGTTAGGTGCGCGCGCTCCGCTACTGGCGGCCCGGGTTCGGATCCCGGGCGCTCACCGACGCACGGCTTCTCCGGCCATGCTGAGGCCGTGTCCCACATAGAGCAACTAGAAGCATGTGCAGTTATGACACACAACTACCTACTGGGGCTTTGGGGGGAAAATAAATAAATAAAAATAAATAAATAAATAAATAAAAAATTTAAAAAAAAGCCCATGCTGAGTGCTGTGTGAGCACCGCAGCTGCCTGTGGGGGAGTGCCACTGTGATCCCCATTTTACAGATGAGGACACTGAGGCCCAGAGAGGGGCAGTACCTTGCCCACAGTTACACAGCAAAGAAGAGGCAAAAATGGGGTTCAATCTATTCTCTTGAGTGAATTAGTTACTGGAGTTGTGCATTTCTAAGTCCTCAGATGTATTTAGGAATAAGGGATGGGCAAGGCTATTCCTGCCTTCCTCCAAGTTGATTATTTGGACTAAACTAAGATCTTAACCTCTCTACAAAGGCTCATCTGTTATATGCAATAATAAAGCAACAATCGCTCCCGTTTATTGAGTACTTACTCCGTGCCAAGACCTACACTCCAGGCCATATCCACTGTGTTCCTCTCAGCTCCTTAGGAGGTAGGTGCAACCATGATTCCCATTTCACAGATGAAAACTGGAGTCAGAGAGGTTAGGGAATGAGCCCCAAGTCACACAGCATGGAAATGGTGGAGCCAGGACTCGAACCCACCAAGGACGCCTCTGTGCCCACCGAGCTGTGGAGTCGTCCCTAGATGGGTTTTGAAGTCAGAGTTCTTGTTTGAATCCTGGCTCTGCCACTGGCTGACTGTGTGAGGCGGATTCCTCCCACAAAGTTCGGGTAACAATGCCGACCCAGGTGGGAATGAGGCTCCACCGATGTGACTGACGTAAAGCCCGGGGAGGCACCTGCCACATCACAGGTGTTAATGCATTGTCCCTGCTACTGTTCTCATCATTGTCCCTATGGGAGTGGCTGCCCAGGAGGCAGGGAGCCCCTTGTACGGGCCTCACCGTGCCGGGTCCAGCTCCCCTGCCACGTGCCCCAGCACCCCGCCCACCCCTCATGTCAGCCAGATCCTCCTTTCTCCAAACCTTGGGAAGCTGGAGTCCAGAGGCTGCCTCTGGGTGGGGCTGTGGTTCACAAGAAGCCACAAATATTTACCTTGGAGACCTCCGTCCAAATGCAGAGGGTGGCTGCCTCGTCGGCATCTGCAGGATATAAAATGACTCCCAGATTCACTGCCCAGCTGAGGAGAAGAGTGGGCCGAGGACTCCAACGTGTCCAGGTAAAGGTGTGCAGGAGGGGCTGAGGGTCTAGTCACCAGGAGGGTTCGGAGCTGGATACACCTGTTGGGGTCTGGTCAGGTCAGGAGCAGGAGGGAAGCTTGGCCCCGGGGTGAGGTCTCTCAGTCCACTAGGATCGTCTTGAGGTCAGGGCCAGGGGCTAGAGAGGTGCCCAGCTCCCTCACCCAGAAGACCAAAGAGTGGTGATGAAGGAATCAGACGGGCTGAGTCCTTCCCTGAACTCATCCTCATGACATAAACCCACTCTGCACTCGCCAGTTCCTCTGTGCCCAGCCCTGTGCTGGGGTGATTCTGGGTTCAAGAAGTATCAGACAGTCTTGGCCCTCGAGGAACTCCCAATATGGGCCAATGTGGTACATGCTGTGCTCAAAGAAAGCCCAGGGACATGGTGATAGAGGGCAGTCAGGGAAGGCTTCCTGGAAGAGGTGACATGTCGGTTGAGAAGCTGTGTAAAAGTTGTCTGGACAAAGGAAGAGAGAAAGCCATCCCATGCACAGGGAACAGCATAAGCAAAGGCCAGGAGGTGAGATCTGATGTTGTGGGTGTGTGCACAGTGCTTGGATTTGTGGGGGAGATGCCTTTCCACAGCAGGGGATGCGACCGTCCTCTTGGTTCCCTGAGCACCTCTGATCAGGGGAGGACAGGGTGATGCGCGAAGATAATGGAGGGAAAATGGGGTCAAGGTACTTGAAAGAAAAAGATTATGGAGTGGGGGTGGGGAGTGCTTCCTGGGCAAAAGAGCAGAGTACAGGGCGTCACCTCTGTCCTCTGGCTTTGACTGCAAAGTGGTTCCTTCTGACCCCAGTATTAGTAATAATAGCTGTCATAATCATAATAAAAGCTAATATCATGGAGCATCTGTGGCGTACCAGGCCACAAATGGATTGTCTCAGTTAATCCTCCCAACCCTGTGATGTAAGTATTATTATTATCCCTTATTTTAAAGATGAGAAAACCAAGACTCAGAGAGGGTAAGTCATTTGTCCAAGATCACACAGCAAGTGGTAGAAGCCTCCACTCGAGTCTCTCTGACTCCCAGGCCCATGATATCTCTCCTCCACCCTCAGGCCTCCTGACACTCAGGGATGGGGGTCCTGTGATTTGACAGGGGTCCCCTCGGCCCAGACCTCCTCGGTTTAGCAGGCTAAGATTCCCCATTTTCCACGGCTCCCAGAGGCCGTTCCTTCATTCAGCAACCATTCATTTATTAAACATCCACTGTGTGCCAGGCACCATGCTGGGTGCTGGGGACACAACAGGGAGCAGGTGGACCCAACCCTCCCTCCGGGAGCTCACGGCCTGGCCAGGGAGGCTGGTGTTGAATCATCGCAAGTGTCTCACAGAGCTCACGCTGCTCCAGCTCACGGAAGACACAAGTCATCCGGATGCCACATTTGTCTTTAGCAGCAAGAAACCCACATGGTGAGCCAAGCAAGGGCTCCGGTCTCCGGGTCAGCATCTTCCTTCCCTTCCCTCCCTACAGTCCACAGGAGGCAGAAGCTTCCATCGGAGGCTTGGAGGCAGAGCCGGGGTGCAAGCTTGGAGCTCAGGTGCAGATCCTCCGCCCCGTGGAGGGAACAGGGCAGCCTGGGGCCAGAACGCCCCAGCTCCTCTCCCAGGAGACGCCCGCAGCCCTCTCCCTCTCTTCCTTCTTTCTCTCCCTGGCTCCAAGAAGCCACCTACTCCCTCCTCAGGCCCCTTAGAATTGCAGATTAAGCAAACAGCTCTCCTACACCTGAATTCTCATCTCCCTCCTGCCTCCAAACATCCTGTCCCGGCACACACCAGCTCCCAGGGCAACACGTCTCCAAGTGCGGTCCAGGGTCTCAGGCTGCAGGAGAGGGAAAGGTTTACAGAGAAAGGGACACGTGGGCAGAGTTCTCAAGGATGAATGGGAGTTCAGCAGGCAAATAAGGAAGGGGGAAAGCATTACAGGAACCAGGAAGAGCAGGTGCAAAGGCGCAGACACAGGAGACAACAGGGTATGTTCTGGAAACTTCAAGCAGGTTGGAATGACTGGTACTTTATAGAGCAAGAGGAGAGTAAGCAGGCGGTGAAGTTGGCTGAGGTTGGGCCATAGAGGGTTTAAGTGCCAAACGCTATGGAGAAGGGCACTACTTCATTATGCCCATTTGCCAGGTGAGAAGACTGAGGCATGGAGAGGTTAAGTTGGTTGACTAAGGCCACGCAACTAGCACCTGGCAGCAGAGGCAGCACACAGACCTAAAGAGTTGGGCTCCAGAGCCCATTCTCTGAACCACTTCACTGAACAGCCTCTCCTGGACTCAGTGTCCCAAGTCAGCAGGCGTGGTGGGCCTGCCCTTGGTCTCTCTGCCCAGCCAACAGGGCCCTGTGCTCACCCCAGGTTCTGACTGGGTTCTGACAGGCCTGCCCCCTGCTACTACTGACCCCCAAGAAGATGGCCAGTCCGCAGACCTTCACCCTCCTCTGTGGTTTGCTGGCAGCCACCTTGGCTGGAGCCACCCTCAGCCCCGCTGCCGTTCTCAGCCTCAGCCCAGAAGTCATCGAAGAAAGTAAGTCTCGGCCGCCCAGTCCTCAGCACCATAAGGCAAGGGGGCAGGTGGAGCAGCCCTCCAAAGGAAGGAGGGAGCTCCCCGTCACTGGGGGTGTGCAAGGCACGGCTGGGATCCCAGGTCGAGGGTGAGACTCACGTGGATGAGATATAAAGGTTGGGGGTGTCTGTGATCTCAAGAGTCCATAATTCCAAGACCCCTTCTTAAATTCCATGATTCTCAAAACCCGCTACTCAGATTCGGTGGCCTGCAGGAGGGGTGTGGAGCGCTGCATGCGATGATGCAGCTGTCCCCCCTACTGCTGTTGTCTAAACCCCACTGCCAGCGCCCCTCCGCTGAGGTAGACCCAGGGTGCAGCCAGTCCCAGAGCGCAGACCCTCAGCCAGGAGTCTGGGGGCCTGGGGCCCAGGCACAGCCTACTACCCTCCAGCTCTGTGGCCCTGGGCAAGTCCCTGAACCTCGGTTTCCTCCTCTGGAAACAAATGAGAGGGCCTGCCTCCCGGGGTCGTTGGGATCACCCAATAGGACAGGAAGTGACAAGAGCTTTTGTGAACTCTGTGGCTGGGCTTCTCAAACCCGGCCCTTCTGACCATGTGGGTCAAATAATTCTTCATTGCTGGGGGCTGTCCCGTGCATTCTAGGATGATTAGTAGCATCCTCGGCCCAACTGTGACAACCAAAAATGTCTCCAGACATTGCCAAATGTCTCCTAGGGACAATGGGTTGAGAACTGCTGCTCCAAAGTGTTGTCCCAGGAGAGGATGATAATCAGTCGGCCCTGGAGGTGCATCTAAAGCACTTAGAGACCAGCCCTCCGCACGCAGCGGGCCTGGGGGGTGCTGGATGGGCAGGGGCAGGGCCAGGTCCTGGGGAGCCACACAGGTGCTATAGCCAGAGGAGGGATCCCCTAGTAGGGACAAGGAGCAGAGGGGCAGAGGTGCCCTGGGCCCATTTGGTGAGTCACAAGCACATGGAATTTCAGCCAGAAGGAGCTTGGAGATGAGCAGCCATGGTTTAGGTCTCCTCGACAGCAGAATCTGAGTCGGGGAGCTGTGGACAAGTGGGCGGTTTTGGAGGTGACCCCCAGAAACACCTGCAGGAGAGTGGGAAGCAAGGCAGGTAAGAGCAAGCCAGTCACCACTGGGACCGGAGCTCAGTCCTGCTGGGCAACTGTGTGAGTTAGGGCCATCGGGAGGCAGGAACCACTCAGTAAGCCCAACAGACAGGTTTGTATAAAGAATTATGAGGGGCCAGCCCTGTGGCTTAGCGGTTAAGTGCACGCACTCCGCTACTGGCGGCCCGGGTTCGGATCTCGGGCGCGCACTGACGCACCACTTGTCCGGCCATGCTGAGGCCGCGTCCCACATACAGCAACTAGAAGGACGTGCAACTATGACATGCAACTATCTACTGGGGCTTTGGGGAGAAAAAGGAGGAGGATTGGCAATAGATGTTAGCTCAGAGCCGGTCTTCCTCAGCAAAAAGAGGAAGATTAGCATGGATGTTAGCTCAGGGCTGATCTTCCTCACAAAAAAAAAAAGAATTATGAGCAGGGGATTGGAGTAACGGGAAATTGGCTAAGAAGGAAAAAAGAGAGAATTCCAAAGGATACCCTAGGGATTGGGTGGGGGGTCTAATCCAAGGACAGAAGAAATGTGGAGGGCAGGGTCCTCCCCAGACCTCATGGGAGGAGTGTGGTTGAAGACCACTGGCTGGTGGGGAAATTCCCTGAGCTGCTCCGGGTCAGAGCGGGTCCACAGTTGGCTGCTGAGGCTAGTGGGCAGAGAACGGCCTGCTGGGGAGCTGATGGAATTCTCTGGGAAGCCACTCCGAGGGAGGGGGTCGCTGTTGACTCCCTGGGAAGCCCTCTCTGTGACTGCCTGGAGGCGAGCTGGGGTGCCCGCAGGAGTCACAAGCTGCCCTCGGGAGCACTGCTGAGCACGCAGCCCCGCGCAGTGACACCACGGGAGCCTGGGGAGAGGAGCACACCAGGGCCAGGAGGGAGCACCTTCCTCCTCCACGTCACTCCAGAGCCTCTACTGACGTGGCTTAACACTGTGCCAGCTGGCCAGGGAGGAATGTTCCGGGGCCCTGCTCCAGCATCACAAAGCAGGCAGAAAGTGTGGCTTTGTTGCTGAGAGGTAAAAACACACGGGACTCTGGGACAGAGTGGGGCACACGTCTGAGTCATCCTGCCCGAGAGTCGAGGGAGCAGGGGGGTCATAAGCAGGCCCCATCGGTCAGTGGCTGGAGGCTGCTTCCGGAGCATCGATCTCCGGTGCTTCTGACCTGCTCGCGCACAAGCCCAATGGGCTCTGGCTGCCAGGGGAAAAGTCCGGCAGGGACCAGAACCCAGGGATCCCGCTTCCTCCTCTCTCTGCTCAGCACCTGAGGCTCTTCAGACAACGGGCCCACAGGACGTGGATGCCAGGGAATTGTTAGCAAGCGTGTTTTGGCAGCCAAACAGTCCCCAAATGGGCTTCGTGGAATCTCTGCCTCTTGACTCCGGAACCGTTTGCCACTGGCTGGTGGGAGGGAGGCAGGTCCATGTGCCCGGTGCACTGGCCAACGAGCCCAGCAGAGGCTGGCAACGCTCAGGGGTGTCAGTGGTCCCCCAATGCCCCAGCCTCAGTCTTCATGTGAAAATGACCCATCTGGGCCATCCTCCACAAGGCCACATCTGCACAGTGGAGACGCTCAGGATGGAGCCACCCATACCCCCGCCTTACGTCCAAGTCTGAGCAGTCCTGAGTGATGCCCCCTCCCAGCCTGAGCCCCCGCCAAGCCATCCTTCTTGCCCCTCCCGCTGGACCCTAATCCCTGGGATCTGCCTCCAGAGCTGACACAGAAGCTGAAGGACCACGATGCCGTCGACATCCTCCGCCGGCTGCCGCTGCTCAGAACCATGCAGACGAAGCCAGCCAGGGGCATCCTGGGCAGTGTGGTGGACTTCATCTTGAAGTACATCATCTGGTAAGTGGAGCAGAACCATGTTGGGAGGCAGGTCCTTCCCCACACCCCTGCCCAGGGCACACTTTGCATGCTCAATCCATCAGTCAACAAGCATCAATTAGTGTCAACTCTGCCTGACCGTGAAGAATGGATCAAACAAATTCCCTCCCTCAGAAGCTCCCAGAAGAGTTGACAACAACCATCAGAGAGTGACACAGGAAGCCTAATAGATGACCCCAGATGAGGGTCGGCTGGGGTGGGAGGGTGAAGGGATAAGGTGACACTTCCTAGTGGAGGTGACAGGTGAGCCAGTGACGCCATGCTCACCAGCAGACAAGAAGAAAATGTCACTCTAGCCAGAGGGACCAGCCTAGGCAAAGGCCTAGAGGGGTGAGAGTTGGTCAGATGGCTGGAGCTCAAACTCTAAGGTGAGGACTGAGAGGTCAGTGGGTCCAGATCACAGACGGTCTTACAAGTCAGCCCGAGGAGCTGGGATTCATCTCCTAAGTGGGGTGGAGAGAGCCACGGGGCGTTGTGAGCAGAAGTGGAGGGGAGGGATGGGGCAAGACCACGCTGGGGAGGAGTCAGTGGACAGGACTTGGGTCCGGCTGCTGGCTGGGCACCAGGGAGACAGGAAAGATGGAGGGGAGCTGGTTTGGGGACGATGCTCAGTTGAGCATGAGGCATGAATCTCATCTCTCTGTGTCCCATCCAGGCTGAAAGTCACCTCAGCCTACGTCCTCCAGCTGCAGATACAACCTTCAGCCGACAGCCAGGAACTGGTGGTCAAGGTCCCCCTGGACATGGTAGCTGGATTCAACACGTGAGTGTCCCCTCAGTCAGGCACAGTGGGCCTGACAGTTTCATCCACTCAATCCTCCCTTTCCTCCACACAGGTATCTGGAAAAGAGAGTTCCAAGCTGAGGAAAGAGCAAGTGCAAAGGCCCTGAGGCAAGAGTGCACTTGCCTTGTTCAAAGAATGGCAAATTGCGGGGGAAGGGGAGAGTGGCAGGAGGTGAGGCCAGCAGGCAGCCGGGGCCAGACCACACAGGGCCTGTGGGCCAAGGCGAGGACTTGGCTTTTACCAAGTAAGATGGGAGCCATGGAAGGTTTGGATCAGAGGAGGAACGTGACATGATTTAACATTTTTAAAGAATCCATCTGGCTGCTGTGTACAGGGGCAAGAGTAAAGGCAGGGAGGCCATCCAGAAATTACTGCAATAATTCAGGAGGAGACAGTGATAGCTTGGATGATCAGGGTTTGGGGGTAGAAAAGTGGTGAGAAGTGGTCAGATTCTGGACACGTTTTGGAGGTAGGGAAAGACAACAGGATTTCCTGATGATTGAATGTGGGAGGAGAGAGAGATTGAGGAGTCAAAGCTGACTCCAAGGTTTTTACCTGTGCAACTGGCAAGATGGAGTGGCCAGGAACCAAGATGGGGAAGATGGTGCGAGAAGCAGGTTTAGGGAGGATCCACAGTTCAGTTTCGTACATGTTAAATTTGAGACTTCTGAGTAAGGAGTAGGGTATAAGTTTAGAAGCTGTTGGAAAATGCAGAGGATTTAAACCAGGAAAGTAATAAAAAGACTGAGCCTGGGACATGTTGGGGTAGAAAAACTGGGGAGATGAGGAGAACCCAGCAAAGGAGCTTGAGAGGGGAGGTGAGAGAGCCAGGTTTGCTCCAGCCTGGGGCTGGGATGGTGCTCACAGCGTCGGGCACCTCCACTCCCAGGCCCCTGGTCAAGAGCATTGTGGAGATGCACATGGAGACGGACACCCAGGCCATCATCCAAGTGCAGACCAGCGAGAGGGGCCCCTCTCTCGTCCTCAGCAACTGCTCCAATAGCCAGGCGGGCCTGCGCATCAGCCTGCTACGTCGGTGAGTGCCGCCACCTCCCGCTGGGTTCCCACCACGCCTGGGAGGGAAGCCAGGTGGTGGCCTTGCCCATTTTACAGATGGAGAACACTGAGGTCCAGAGAAAGAAAGGGCCTCCTGACTCTTTATCTGGCGCTCCTTCCAAGGAATCTGCGATGCCAAAGAAAGTTCAAGACATCAAGGGTGAAAGCCATAACCGTGGGATTTCAGGCCTCATGCTGGGAAGTGGGGCTAACATTTAAAGGTGGAAAGGAGCCGCCTTCCTAGGGCCCCTCAAACCACCTCAGGCCGGCTTGGGTGGAGCCATGGATAAAAACACACGGTGGACTCAGGCAAACGCATCTCCTTCATTTACTGTCTGGGCAACGCTGGGCAGGTCACCTCCCTGTGCCTCACCGTCCAGACCACAGGGAGAGGACCAGATCAGGCCACAGCCATGAGTAAGCACTCAGCATATGCACAGCACACAGCAGGCACTTAGCAGGAGAATGGGGAGAATGCCAACTGCCATCACCCCAGCCTCTGGCACAAATTTCTAAAGACGACCCCCAGCCTCTGCTCCCTGAAACCTCTCTGCCACCGTCTACACCCGGCTCAGGTTCTACTCCCAGCCCTGTCTCTAACAGGTCATGGGACCTTGAGCAAGTTCCTCCCTCCCCTGGACTCCGTCTCCCCTTCTGTCAAACGGGGGAGAGGTGGTCATCTCTGACCCTTCCTAATCTCTCTCCCCTTCTCCTCTCCGGAAGCTTCTCCTTCCTGGTCAACTCCTTAGCTGATAAGGTCATGAGCGTCCTGGTGCCAACGCTGCCCACGCTGGTGAGAAGCCAGGTGAGTGGAATCAAGGCCCCTCTGGCCTACAAAGATTGCTCCCCCTGCAGGGCTGGGGTGGAACTGCAAGCTGGTGCTTAGGGACCTGTGTCTCCTTGAGCGGGAGACTTCTGGGCCTGGATCACTCTTTCAGCAATGGGTCATTGAGTTCAAGGTAATGGAGCTGCCAGAAGTCAACCAGGAGACCTTGATCTGTGATGTGCTAATGAATTGTTAACAATTGACTCTGGAGGGAAGGGAGCCCTGATTTGTAGCATTCGCTGATTTCTCTGGTGTAAACCTCCAAGGCCAATTTCAAGCTACTGATGTGATGTCACTGAGCAGAGTTGGGAAGAAATGAGTAGTAGCATGCTATTTTGTGGTATTTCCACCACACAGACACAATAGACATAAAAAACCCCAAGAGCGATAGATAATATACAACGAATATATAGATATAGCAACAGATAAAATATAACAAAATAATTAGGAAAGAATGAGTTTTGAGTTTTCATTAACTTTGATTTTAGTATAATATATTTAGTCGTAAGTTTATATAATTTAATTTTTAATAATGTCTGGGCTTAGCACCGGGCTCAGAAATTCCTGAATGTGCAACAATTGGCCCTTGCAAACTGGTACAAGCTGGCTCTAGTATACCAGTCAGTGTCTCACACCAATCTATGGTCCTCAGGGGTCTGTCAGCCCCCCAGTCCTGTTGGGTTTATTTTTCTGAGTCAGTAAACTCAAGTCAATCTCAATTTATATGTCCCTTACATGTCACAGGTCAACTAAAGCGCTTTCAGTTGGATTCATCCACGTTGACTGTTGATTCCCATTGTAAATTCCAAGATGTATTCACAATAGCGTGCCTCCTGGGGTTCAAAACACCTTCTCAGATAATTAATATGTTTTTTATACTAAAACTTTTTTGAATTGAAAAGACAATGTAATAACTAAAAGAACTTTGGAGGGAAGTACCCACATTCTTCTACTTTAACTTGGCTGCATTTTCTCTTGTGCCTTCCAAACCCCATCCACACTCACTCATATTGTTACGTGGCTGCACTGGGAGTCAATGCTATTGGATATTCCTTAAGTTATATCTAGTTTCTATGCCATTGTACGATATTTGTAATTATTGTCATAGCTGCATCATATTTAACACTTTAGTAAACCATCCCAGAAAGCCTTCATAAAGGAATCTGAAAGTAAATAATTTTGTACAATTTGGCTTTTCTTATGTGAGATATTTTTTCTTTTAAGAAATCTTTTTTTCTGTTTAAAGGTAGGAGATTCTTAAAGTAAGGCCCAGCTGGAAATTTTTTCCAGCCTCCAGCAAAACTATATTTTAACTGGCATCATACTTTAATAGCTAAAAATGTATTTTCCACTAGAAAAGATGGCAAGAACTTGGGATTATAAAATGCTCCTTGCATAATATCTGTTTTTAAGGGTGAAAAGCCAAATATAGTGAATGATATGAGAAAACTGGTATTCCATTAACAATCCTGGTTTCCCATCATGATTCACTGGATTTGATACGATGGTTGTATGAATATGTTACTTGGCATGAAGGGAAAAGGCACCCTACTTTTAAATCTGGCAGAAGCCCATCTAGAAAATGCTGAAGACCCTTTCAGTGTAAATATGTGGGTCCCAACCCCAGCTGCACATCAGAACCTCCTGGGAAGGCTTTTAAAAATACAGATATCTGGGCTGTACCCCACAGACTCCTATGTAACTGGTCTGGGCGAGGCCCTAGTGTTGCACAAGATTCTACCTCCTCTGGAGAGTCTAACGTGTAGCCAGGGCTGAGAGCCCACTGGTGGAAGGGAATGAAGGGGAATTGTGGGAGAAGATGCCAAGACTGCCAGGGACACTTTTCCCAAAAAGAGCAGGCAGTCTCTTAGCAGTGAATGCTGGGCGTCTCTGAGCCCGATTCCTCCATCCTCCCTGGGTTCTGGTTGGCAAGGCAGCCTGGAGAGGGAATGGGTGTTTCATAGAATAAGTTAACATTTCTCAAAGTGCATTGTCCTTTCTCGAGAGTAGCAATGGGTGGTCAACCAGAGGTTCTCCCACTAGGGAAATTATACCTAAGACAAAATGACAAAACCTCGGAGCACTGCCCTGGAAGATGGGCTGCCTAGACCTGAGGACAAGGCCTTTGGGTGCCAAGGGCAAGTGAGTCAAATGTTCAACCTCATCCTCAAACAGAACAGGCGAGACCAGGGCTAGGTGAGGCCAGGGTTCTCACTCTCGGCACTGTTGACATTTGGGCCGGATAATTCTTTGTTGTGGTGCTGTCCTGTGCATTGTGGGATGTTTAGTAGCATCCCTGGCTTCTACCCACTAGATGCCAACAACACCCCCCCAACAAGTTGTGACAACCAAAACTGTCTCCAGAAATTTCCAAATGTCTCCTGGGGAACAAAATTGCCCCCTGCTGGGAACTGCTGGCAGTTCTGAGGGGAGAAGAGTTCAGTGGGGAAAGGGATGTGCTGGGGCTCGAAACCCCCAAAGGGCACAAAGAGATAGTCCATGAGTCTGGTTAGGTCTGTCTTTCTGGCCTCTGTTATAGAGTCCAACACGCAGAAGGGACTCAGTAACAATTTGTTGAATGAATAAGTGAATGAAGGAATGAATTCTCCATTTCCCTCTCATGGAAAACGAGGGCTCTCGTGAAGAAAACGAGGAGTCTGATGGGGAGGGCAGCTGGCAGGCCGGGCGCACCCTGGCCATAGGGCAAGGGACATTGCCCAGGCGACACTGGGGGCTGGGGTAGGTTCTGAGCAGCAGGGATGGCTCTGGGGGAGTGGACGAACCACTGAGTCCTCAACCCCATGGATGACAACCTGGCTGGCCTGGGCACAACGGCGGGACTCAGGCTGGGCAGGCTGGGCACGGTCACTGTGGGGCTGTGTTCCGGCCCCTCGCTGATGGAAGCCCTGCCTTTGTGCTGTTGCAGCTGTGTCCCGTGATCAAGGCAGCCTTTGAGGACATGCGAGAGGACCTCCTGCGCCTGGTGAGGGGTAGGTGCACCCCTCTCTCCCATCTCTTTTACGTTGTTGCTGAGCTGGCCGCCAGGCCCTTCCTCTGCCCAGGGCGCCTCCCCAGTCAGGCCTGAGCAGCAACTCAGCCCAGCAGCAGGCTGGAGGAGCAGACGGGAATTCACGACTGTGACTTCATGAGCACCTACTACATGCAAGTTTCTATGTGAGCCAGCAGGTGCTCCAGATAAACCCAAGTTCAAATCCCAGCTCTGACATTGACTTGCTCCGTGACTTTACGAAAGCCAGCTCCACTTCCTTATCCTCAGTTTCCTCAGCTGTAAAATGGGACTTATACATCCCTACCTCACGAGTTGCTTAGTGAGGATGGAAAGTTACCAGGAAAGTTCCAGGCACACAGCAGGTGCCCTGCCTGGCACAGAGAAGTGCTTACAAATGTGTGCTGAATGGATGAATGAATGAACGATACAGACACCACTGTGGGCTATTAGACAAGAGGGAACAGGGAAGAGACAAGATGTGTGCCCAGGAAGGATGTCACGTCTCCCTCGCCAAGAGTAGCAGAGATCAGAGGACACAGGCTTCTGCCCCCACCTCGGGATTCTGCCCTGCACCCCTCAGAGAGAGAATTGGAGGGAAGAAGAAAATTCTGCCGAGTACTCTTTTGGGATCTGAAGAAGCTCATTTAAAGGGCCAGCAGAGGGGAGTGGGAAGAGGAGAACGGAAGCGACATGCACTGAGCACCACGGAGCGCCCGCTGGGCTGGGCATTCCACACGTGCTGTCTGGCTGACTCCTCAGACAACTGCATGACGTCGTGATCATTCCCCACTTCACAGAGAAGAAAACGGAGGCCCAGAGAAATTAGGTCATTTGCCCAAGTTCACAGAGGAAATTAGTGATAGGGGAGAGCTTAAACTTCATTCTTCAAGTCCAAGTCTGGTGTAATTCAGATCTGAGCCACTTTACTAGGTACCCGTCCTGGCCGCCCTGACACTGGTTTTACTGTTTTACCCACACTGTAGGATGAGGAAACACTTTCAGAGGTCAGAAGAGACTAGCTAAGGTCACTGGGGTCAAACGGAAGTCTACCTGGCTCCTCTGTTCCCCCGGGGCAGGGCGGGAGGCATGCGCCCCCTCCCCGCCCTCCCCTTTCTCCACCCAACAGCTGGGGCAGAAGAGACGCCACCGCCACCTGGCGGCCGAGTGGGGAATCCCCGGATGAACACAAGCGATCCAAGGGGCAGACCCAGGTCCTGCCTGGGTGAGGGGTGCAAATCACAGTCTGGAGGGGAAGGTGGGGAGTTATAAGCAAGAGGTCAGTTTGGTTCCAAACCAAGACTTTGGCATAGGACTGACTGGGTTCAAATCCTTTCACAGTATGACCTTGAGCAAGTCGTTTCACTTTCCCGAGCCTCGGTTTCTGCATCTGTGAAATGGGGGTAATGATAGGACCTGCCTCCTAAGGTCATTGTGATGATTACATGAGCTAACACACGCAGAGCTTTAGCACGGTACCTGGCAAGATATACACTCCATAAATGTCAGTCGTCACCACCATCATTGTCATCACTCCTGCTCTCCCTACCTACCCCCCAACTCCGGTGCAATAATGCAGCTCCAGCCGAAAGCAGCCCCCAAACCGACCCCATCTGATGCTGCCCTCCACCCTCACAGAACTTTCTTCTTGTCGCTGAGCAGTGCCCCTTTACCTCGGCTCTGATCACCTGGAGTTTGACCTTCTGTCTCCTGCCATCAAGGATAATGCCATCCAGCTCAACCTGTGGGTGAGTGTCATGGGACCTCGAAGATAAAGTGGGGACATCACTGCCCTTCTCTGACCGCCAAGGGTCAGACACCATGGGTCTGTTTCAGGGGAGAAAACGCCAGTCACAGTTAGGACACACAGGCTGATTTAGAAAAATCTCAACAGGCTGAACGTGTCCCATGTAAACCATTCTGACAGAGAAAAACCAGCAGGTGGAATCTAAGGGCCACACACAGGACTCGACCCTATGATCTGTCCTCCGAACCTGAGTCCCCAGGCAGGGGCAGGAGTGTGCGGCCTGGGGTTCTTGGTCCTTCTCCAGGCAAGCCCCTGCCAATCCCCAATATCTGGGTCCGAGGATCAAGACACTGAGATCACCCAGGACATTGAGGATCACACAGACCAAGTGTCTCTCCCAGCTCCACAACTCCCCTGCTGTGTGGCTTAGGGCAAGTTTCTTCACCTTTCTGAGCCTCAGTTTCCTCATCTGTAAAATGTAGATAATAATAGTCACCAAGGAGAGGATGAAATGAGACCGCATGGGAGCCCGGTAACTCAGCTGTCCGTGAAATGTGGAGCCACACACTCACACTGGGGCTGGACTCCCTGAGGGACCAGGCCAACCTGGGTGCACGAATCCCAGACCAGTTTTCATGGACCCCTTGGAAAACTGCAGCATCAAACACTTCCATCCATTTTGTTGCAGTTTTGAATTTTCCCTTCATCCAAAGGATTTGTGAGGTATCTAAGTTGAAATCTAAATGCCAAGTAAGACACCTAGGTTCAAAAAAAATCAGAGGTTATCTGAGTGGTGCAGGTAGAGTAGACCTTGCTAGGCACCTGAGATAACTCAACACCTATGGCAAGGCACTGAGTTCCAGGCTAAGCTTCCTGGCAGCAAATGCAAAAAGGGAAACAGGCTGAATGGTGTCATTTCCTTCTAGGTTGTTATTGAGTAAGTTGTAGAGTTTAAGTTCCCAGCGAACTCTCTGCTGTATGTCTCCTTAGGCCAAGTCATTGGACGCGCAGGGAGAAGTCACCAAGTGGTTCAACGAGTCTGCAGTTCCCCTGACGATGCCAACCCCGGACGGTGAACCTTTCAGCCTCACCGTAAGGCAAGATGTGGTGAAAGCTGCAATAGCCACCTTGGACCCTCCAGAAGCACTCATGGTCCTGTTGGACTATGTGGTAAGCCTCAGCAAGGGACAGAGGATGGGGCCACCTCTGCTACATCATGGGAATTTCCTGAATCAAAGAGGGCACAAGGACCCCTTAAGCCCCTGAGCAGGAATCCCCTCTCAGGCTCAGTTTAAATACCTCCAGTAATGGAGAGCTCACTCCGTCCTCTAACAGACTGCATGTCTGACATATAGCTCTAAAGCTGAAAATTTCCCTGGAGACATCCACCCCTAGACCTGGTTCTGCCCTCTGGAACCTGAGACACCTGCTTTCTCTACCAAATAACAGTCCTGTCGAGCCAAAGGGCATCTTGGATACTGAGTGGTCCAGGGATGGAAATTGTACCACTGCCCTTCACTATGGGGCCCATGGCAGACATCACTAATCAATCAGGGCCCTCCTTTCTATTGAGCCTAGATGCCAGCACAGCCTTGGAATCCAACACAGCACAGCAGGCAATCACCAGTCATCTAGAGTGTGCCACCTCCTCCAGGGTGACAAATGAGGAAACTGAGGCCCAAAAGGGGGAAGCGTTGGCCCAAAGTTATGCGAGAGTGTCAGGACTTCACGTCAGCTGACAGGCAACACATCACCAAGCTCTTGAGGATTAGAATTCAGCACAAGGGGCTGGGATGATGAGAAAAGAGGAGTCAACCAGCAACCACAGTCATGACTGTAGCCAGAATTGGGTCACTTCTCTACGTCCTCTGGGAGCAGGGAGCTGCCCACAGACCCCAGCCACCACCAACCCCCAGTAAAAGTCCAGGCCAGCGGGGCCCCCATGCCTCACGGCAGCTGCCATAGGGCTGTTTTCCACCAGTGACGGACATGTGGCCTGGACCACCAGGCCCGCCCAGCTTTTCCAGGGTTCCAGGGATCCCAGCAGCGGGGCTACTGGAGGCGTGCCTCCCCTCTCCGCCCCCTAACCTGCTCTGGCTTCCTCTCACCCTCAGCTGCCTGAGCTGGCCCGCCGGCTAAAGTCGAGCATCAAAGTGATCAGTGAACAGGTTGGTCCATTTGCCGTCTGCAGCTTGATGGGCGTTTGCTGTGGTCTGTCCACTGGCCTCTGGGGAATAAAACACGCGTAGGCCCGCTCTCCTTCCTTCCAGTACTGGCGTCTTTTACAGACCAGATCGCTGTCCCCGTGGAGATTTCAGTCTAGCAGGACAGTTTGACCTGAATCAAATAATTGCACAGATAATCAGTTACAAGCGTGGTGACAAAGGACAGATCCTAGGGGTTATGAGAGCGTTACTGGGGCACCTGATATAGTCTGGAAGACTAGAGAGGGCTTCCCTGGAGGGAAGGGTACTCCAGACAGAGGGGGATAGCAGTCCATTCCAGGATCCGAGAGAAGGACAGTCTGGCTGGAGCACAGAGAAGAAGCAGGAAGGCCGGGAAGGTGGGCACAGGCCAGGCCACGTGGGGCCACACGGGGCCTGTGGGCCGTGGCGAGGCACTTGGGAGGCTGTATATGGGTCTGCTGTCCTTCCAGGCTGCAGATCAGCTTGCACCCACGCAGATCGTGAGGATCATGACTCTGGAGACCCCAGAGCTCCTTCTGGACCAGGGCATGGCCAAGGTGGCCCAACTGATTGTGCTGGAAATATTTGCCACCAGCGAAGTCCACCGCCCCTTCTTCACCCTGGGCATCGTGAGTTCAGTTGTCTGAGATGTTGGGAGCAATCTGGGGGATCCTCCTATTCACTGTTCCTGTTCACCCCTCTTGCTTTGCTAAACGTTTCCACCACTCTTGTCACCCAGCAGAGTGGAGTGGGGGGAGCGCTAAACCAAGAATTGGGAGCTTTGGGGGCCTGACTCTGACCCTGTGACTTATTAGTCAGGCCCTTTGTACCCCACTCGTGGGTCAGTCATTGGTCACCAATGGCCCCCAGGGAGAGGAGGAACTTAACCTCCCAGCCAGGCAGCCCCATATAGTAAGGGCAATGCTCCAGGGAGGGGACAGCTGTGACCTGTTAGCAGCAGCACTCAGCAGCTGAGGGGTGGATGCCCTGTCCTATAGAGGGGATCCAAGTGGGGCACCAACTGCATCCACCTCAGGGGGCAAAGAGAAGAGAGAGACGAGGCAGGATTCGCGGTTGGGCACTGGAACTGTGCTTAACCAAGGAGGCTGGATGGTACCTGGTGGGTAGAAGGAGGCTAATGTAGGCAACTATCCTTACAGCAGGGTTACCACGTACAGCTGTGCACAGCAATTGTCCACACGCAATTCGCAAAGACTGCAGGATGCACAGTGCCCTGGCCTCCTGGCTTGGAGGAGATTCCGGGCCCCCACCAGCAGTGGGAATGGACTGCCGGGCCAGCCTCACTCCCTGGTGACCTGTTCCTTCGTGGCCAATGGCAGGCATTTTTCAAAAGGCCGCCAAGCCCAGGCCTGTTTGTTCTCTGGATGTGGCTGACCTGGAGCTAGAGCCTGGCACTCTGCCCTCAGGTCTGCAGGTCAAGTTGATGTATATCTTTGGCACCCATATTTGAGACTTGGCTTAGCTTCTGACCTTTCTGATGATAATAATGGTTAACATTTACCAGGGGCTTAATAATCCTCATCCCTCGGTTTCCTCTCTTCTACAATGGGGTAATAATAGGGTTATTATCCTATATCCAACTTCATAGCATTGTGAGGATCAAAGGAGAGAACCATATAAAGTTCTTAAAACACTGCCCGTCACACAGTGAGGGCTCCATGCTTATTGGCTGCTGTCATCATCATCGTCATCCTCCTTCCCCACAACAGTCCCGTGTGGTCATCTGTTCAATGGGGAGCGGGTACAGGTAGTATCCCATTTAATAGATGAGGAAAGTGAGGCCCAGAAAGGTCAAACCCTTTCCCAAGGTCACAGAGCCAGAAGCTGAGATTCAAATAGGTCAGCTTGACCCCAGAGCCTCCTTGCATAACCCCACCCCCCACACTTGACGTGTTCTCTTCAAAGAAATGGGGCCTGGGCTTCTCTTGTTGCAGGAAGCCAGCTCAGAAGCTCAGTTTTACACCAAAGGTGACCGACTCATGCTCAACCTTAATAAAATCAGGTAAACATGTAAATTATTATGAAGATTCTGGGGATGAAAACAAGTCTCATCTCATTCCACTGGGTTTCTTTAAATACCCAGTGTTTCGAGCCTCTGGGGTGTGAGCATCGAGAAAAGGTGAGGGAGGCTGCCCCCCCGGGCTGTCCCGCTGTCGAGGACTGAAGGAGAGAGAGAGAAGGAAAGGGAAGAGCTTGCAGCAGCCATGGGGCAGCCTGACCCTGACCACAGGAACAGCCTGCCCAGCACCGTCTTCTGAGACTTGGGTGCCCATTCTGGACGCCTCCAAGACAGTGGCAGCTACAGTCATGCCCGGATGCTGAGCACCCATGGAGCCCAGCCCAGAAGTGCAGGGATCCAGCTGCCTGCCCACTTCTCCTCCCATCCCACCATCCCCCTGCCGCCTCAGAGGGAGTTCAGGGTTTGCAAGCTGGAGCCTCCTGGGACCAGTCAAGCCCATGGATGTGTTTTGATCAGCCCACATCGGGTTAGGGTTTTTTAAACATAAATTAGTTGTCAACATATAAAAATCAGAATACCTAGCCACCGTGGGCCTGCACTCCTACATGGCAACAAACAGCTGAGCTGGGAATAAGTTACCCCTTTTAGAAGCAGCCTAAACTCCCCAGTTCACCACAGTGAACTCTCTCACAGTTCACTCACTCCTGGGGGTGGTTTTTCTGCTCTTTGGACAACTATTTGTTTTCTGTCTCCTCCCCACCCCCCACCCCACTGCAATGTAAGCTTCATGAGGCCAGGATTTTATTTGGTCCACTGCCATATTTCCAGAGCCTGCACTGTGCCTGGGACATAGTAGGTGCCCGATACACAGTTGTTGACTGAATAAATGAATGAACTCCAAGGGGCCCTTCTCACGGGCATCTTCTGTTGCAGCGCCAATCGAATCCACCTGATGAACTCGGGCATTGGCCTGTTCAACGTGAGTATTAACAGATCTTCCCTTGAGACATGGGGGATAGCCCAGGATGGGCCATTTCGAAAACAGACACTGCCCAGGGTCTGCTTTGAACGAGGTCCCCACAGGCAGCCCCATGGTGGGCTGGCTGGCCTCCACAGGCCACAAAGTCCAGCCTCCTGGCTCAGGCATTCACTGAGCACCTAACAGAGTGGTGGAACAGAACAGAGCAGGGCAGTGGAGCCCCTGAGCGTGGGGGCAGGGGGCGCATCCCTTTAATGCACCTCAGTCCCCCCATCCGCCAGGGCCCCAGGCCAGCTGAGTTTGTGCCGCCGCCAGCCTGTCTGGTCCCTGGGAGCCCTTGCAGCTCTGAGCAGCAGGGGACCTGGGATCCTGGCATTTTCACTGGCTGCCCTCGTGGTGGGGCCGGTGGGAATGGCTGGGAAGACTTCGGCTGCTCAGCCAGGGTGACAATGCCCCTTCTCTCTCACAGCCTGAGCTTCTGAAAGACATCACCGCCGAGATCCTCGCCTCCGCCCTGCTGCCAAATGAGAACGGTGCATCCCTTTGCTACCCACCCCCACACTCCCCAGGGCTTTGCTGGTGGTGCTTTATTCTACTGCATCTACCTGCATCTCCACGTGGGGCCCCTTTCATTCATTTTCCGCCTGTCCTCAGAGCCTAGTTCAAATTCCATCTCCTCCAGGAAGCCTTCCCGGTCACCCAGCTGGAAATGACCTCTGCCATCTCCAACTTCCCAGCCCAATTCCTTTACTAGTGGCAGAACCTAGGCGTGCAATGATGAACCAGGCAATGCCCAGCCTCACAGGGCCAACAGTAGGAGAGTCGGGGGTGTAAACAGACAACCAGAGCACACTCCATGGGCCTCAGGTAGACCTGGGTCCAAGTCCTAATTCCCCCTCCTGCTGGCTGCCTGGCCTTGGACAAGCTGCCTTATCATCCTGAGCCTGGCTTTCGCCATCTGGAAAACGGGGGAATAAGAGTGCCCTCCTCAGAGGCATAAAAGAGATGCTGTCTGTAAGGGCAGAAAGGGGGTGCCAGGCACAGTCCGGGCTCAACTTTTCTCAGCCATTGCTGATGTTGGCATTGTTATTTGTGCTACTGTGGAGGAAGCCGAGAGAAACGGTGGAACTACTCTCATTAAGCCCCAGGTCATGGGGATGGGGAGAAATGGTAACCTATGCTAATTCTGCCTATTTTCATTGCTTTATTTGATTTGAGTGGGAAATCTCAAAGCATAGACACCTCTGCTGTGGATAATGGGAGCCCTTGATGGTTCTTGAGCAGAAGTGTGAGAGGATGTGAGGAGCCAGCCAGAAGCCAGTGCTAGAGGCAAAGGGTAGGGAAATGAGGCTAGGTGGATGCTGGGGCCAGAGAACCCAGGTGAGCAGAGGCAGAAGGGACAGTCTGAATCAGACATGCCAGGTCTCAAGTTCCCCTCAAGGAACTGTGAGCCTGCCCCGCGGCTGCCCAGTCCCACCCCAGGCCCACCAGTCTCTGACCACATTTGTTATTTCAGGCAAGTTAAGATCCGGGATCCCAGTGCCAATGGTGAAGGCCTTGGGATTCGAGGCAGTTTCCTGTTCACTGACCAACGTGAGTGGGGTTAACCGTCCTGCCCCGGGGAGGTCACGGTTGCTGGGAGAGCCTCGGGCTGGGAGGTGGGGCCCACGTTCCACTCCTGGCCCCACTGGTCATTCACGGGGGACCTTGGGCAAGTGCCTTCTCTCAAGGCCACACTTCCTCATCTGGAAGTGTAAGGGTGTGACCGTCCTAGGCTGGGATCGATACCCCTCCAGCTTTTTCCAATCTATCTGTCATTCATTCATTCATTTGTTCATTCATTCAGTAAGGCCTGGCATGCAGTAGATGCTCAATAAATGCTTGTTGAGCGAATGACTCTCATTGGCAGCTGCTGGGAAGGGAGCTGTAGCAGCATCACCCCCACCCCCGAATATTATCATTAATAATATTTAACAGCCCCTAATTTTGTACCAGGCACTAGGGTATAGGCTGCATCTTGCTCAGTCTTCATGCCCACCCTATGCAGTGGGTCGTGTTGTAATCCCCATTTTACAGATGGGAAAACTGAGGATCAAGGATGGCAAGTCCATTTCCAAGGTCACATACTCAGTAGGTGGCAGAGTCAGGATTGGCACTCAGCGCCTGTCCTGATAACCCCCTGCCTTGAGCCCCCACTTCTGCATCAGCCAATGACAGTAAGACGGGCCCATCTCAGAGTCAGCCAGCCAGCGGGCATTTACTAAGCATCTACTGTGTGCCAGGCACTGATCACAGTAGTGAACAAAACAGACAGAAACCCCTGCCCTCCTGGAGTTTCTAGTCCACTCTAGAGGGACAGACACATTGAAAGGGGATTTATCAACAACTAAGAAAATCCACAGGTGACTGCCCACCCTTCCATGGAAGGTGTCCAACTCAAGGCCAGGGAGGTACTTCAGACCAAACCTTTTACTCTTATCAGTCCTGATTTGCCCAAAGCTGCAGATTGGTACCACTGAATGCCTGAGCTGTTTAGTTCTGGAGAAACCCACAGAGGAAAGGAAGTCTCAAAAATGCCCCCAACGGGGTTGCATTTGTGGGGAGGGTAGGACGCTTTGTTAACTAGCTTCAAAGGCAAATTGATGTTTGATTTATTATCAGCTGCCCATCCTCAAAAACCATGCCCAGCCTTCAGCTGGGGTTGATGGAGAGTAATGAGAAGGATACCGTGGATGGTACAGAGAGGCCGAGTCTGTCAGGGACCAGAGGACCAGTTCAAATCCCAGCTCTGCCTCTCGCTAGCCATGGACATCAGGCAGGTCCTTCGGCCTCTCTGAGTCCAGCTTCCTCATCCATAAAACCCAGCAGATGTCTGAAAACATGGGTTATGCACTAATGGACTACATTACAATGACCCAATTACAGCATGAGCAGTTTATCTAAGACACGTACCATGCTGGATTCATGTTGGACGGACAACTGGTGTCCACAAAACCGGAAGGCTGGATTGTTTGGTTTATTTCACATATCTCTTATTGGGGGACATTTCACAACTTTCCTCTTTTTAAAATCAACTTGCGTTGCATAATCCATCATTTGCAGTTTGCATTGGAAAGGTATTGTTTCATTCTTTGGATCTGTTTCCAAATTTCCTGTTTTGCTCTATTCATTTGTTTTGGGCTAACCGCACGTTGATTTCCTTTTTATAGCTTTATAATGTATGTTTTAAAATCGAGTCAAAGGAATGATTAAATGGATAGATAGGAGATAAAGCAAGTAGGGTTTAAAAAGTTAATGGTAGAATCTACACAAGTGTTCACTGTAAAATTCTTTCAACTTCGCTGTATGTTTGGAAATTATCATAAAATATTGGGGGAATCTAATAGATTAAGTTCCTCATATAACACTTAGTTTCAGAAAAAAGGCAGACGGTTGTTAAAATTTTAGCTGCCTGGGTCCCAATGGATACAACCGGAAATCTGCATTTTACACAACTTCTTGGGGAATTTTGGTGACCAGCTGGGCTTGGGGACAATGGTCCTACACAATCCAACACTCCATGTGCAGGTACTTTACCTGTGCCCCAGACCCGGGCATAGCATCACTGTTCACACACAGACGGTACTCCTCTGACCCTCCCAAGATTTCTGTATGAGTGAGTTCGGGATCACGACCCCCAGTGCCAGCGGTCACCTTGTGGAGGACAAACCAGCATAAACCACCACAAGGCAGGAGGTAAAAACCCATTTGACTGTTCTCCTCCAATTCCAGGATGCCCTTGTGGTCACCCCAGCCTACTCGTAGAACCCCAGACCGCTCTTCTCTTTCCCAGTGAAGACATGCACTGTGGCCATCGAGGGCAGGCTGGGTCCCAGCGGGAACGTGAGAGCCATCTCTGCAGACTGTCCCTCGCTGCAAGAAATAAATGCTCGTCTATGACTCCTGCAGTATGGCATGTATCTTTGTCTCAGCTCAGGAGTCTTTTTGCCCCTGGCGGGCTTGGGGACTGGACATCCAAGCCACATATGGGTCAAGTTCAGGCCCATCGGAGCCAATCTGGGCCATGTCTGAGCTATGTCTGGGGCATATCAGACCGCAAGTGGGTAATATCCAGGGTCTCGGCCACCTCCCTGGGCTTCAGGAATAAGCAAGCCAGTTGTACCCTCCTGCCTTCCGTGTCAGCCTTAAGACCACCTATGGTGGGACAACTTCTTTGGTGGGGGACACAGGTTTTGTTGATCTTGGCTGTGTGGGGGGTCGAGGGCTCTCTGCACAGTGTGACTCTGGCAGGAGCCTTTCAGTTCTGGCCTGGACCCTCGATGGTTGTTTGACCCTGGGATGTGGTTTCCCCTCCGTGGGCGTCAGTTTCCCTCTATAAAATGGGGAGAATCATAGTCCCCACCTTGGGGGGCTGCAGTCAGGAGGAAATGAGAGAGAAGTGCTCCTGGCACACGGAAGGTGCTCAGACAATGTCCTCTGTGGGTAATGTCATCGTCACTGTTGTTACCTGGCCTCCAGGATGCTGGCCTTATCACTGAAGGCCCTTCCCACTTGGACGGTGCTTGACTGCCATTGTCTCCCCGGCCTCTCTGATGCCAGCAGACTCAGGACAGACAATAGGGCCCCTGTTCTCCAGGCCCCGGGCCTGCCCCAGCACACACAGCCCTTCAGTTCCACGAGGGGCCCTGCAGCAAGGGGCAGGTGGGGGTTTTGGGAAAAGGCATTACCCAACTTCATGGCATAAAGAGGCGTCAGAACAGCTCACAGCCCGGGAAGGCAGCCAGGAAGGAGCTTCTCCAACCTACAAGACACAGACTAGGCCGAGAGGGACACGGAGGGGCCAGGACACGACCCTGCGCAAGGCGCTTTCCCAGGGTCAGCGGACAATTTGTGGGCAGTTGCTGAGTGCCAGGCCCTGTGCTGCAGCTCCCCACGTGTCCTCGACTCCCAGTCACACTTTGTGGTCTGCGTGCCACACATCACATTCCATTACTTTTCTAAATCATATTAAATCTGGGCTTGAACCCCCACTCACAAGGGAGATGAAAAAGTTGATCTCCATCTTGTCTGGAGTAGGTCTCTTCTGCCTCCCTAGGGTCATATAGGATCTGTTGCGGGAAGGGGGCTTTCGAGGAGCGTGGAGGATGGGCAGGGCCTCTGCTCTTGGGTCCCATTTGGTCCCAGTGAAGGGATCTCTGTCCCAGCCCACAAGATGTTGTCAGAGGCCAGTGGCTCCAACACCCTGCCAAGCTGGGCACTTCTGTAACCACGGGCCCTCCAGGACCAGCTCAACTGACGCCATCTCTTACCAACAGAGTGATTAAGAATTGTGACTCAACAGAGTGATTAACATTTCAGAAAATGTGCAGTCACATAGCCAGAGCGTGCACAGAAGAAGAAATCTTGTCCTGAAATGACTGCAGAACCAAAGGACTGGGGCACGACCAGAACGCGACTAGAACCTGGAAGTCAGGCTCTTTTTTTTTTTTTTGTGAAGACGATCAGCCCTGAGCTAACATCCATGCTAATCCTCCTCTTTTTGCTGAGGAAGACCGGCTCTGAGCTAACATCTATTGCCAATCCTCCTTTTTTTTTTTCCCCAAAGCCCCAGTAGATAGTTGTATGTCATAGTTGCACAGCCTTCTAGTTGCTGTAAGTGGGACGCAGCCTCAGCATGGCTGGAGAAACAGTGCGTCGGTGCGCGCCCAGGATCCAAACCCGGGCTGCCAGCAGCGGAGCGCGAGCACTCAACCACTAAGCCACGGGGCCGGCCCCCAGAAGTCAGACTCTTATCAGAAGCGAGGCGTCCCTCATTCAGGAAGATCGGTGTTAAAATTCCTTCCTCACCTCATCATAAAGGTTTAAAACCTTACCATAAATGTTTGAAGCCCATCAATCAAAACCAGTCCCTCTAGCATTTCCACGTGCCAGCCTATTCTCCCTAACCTCATAAATTTCACCCCAAATCCTGAATCGGGGAGACAGATCTGAGGGAACACACCCCCTGTCTCCCTACAGATTGATCTCGCAGAATAAAGCTGGTCTCTTTTCCCAAAGACTGATGCCGTAATTAATTATGCACATTGGGCAAGAGAACCCCAATTTTGTGCAGTAACACTTCTCCAAAACAGCCATGGCTGTGGTTCCCAGGTTCTGACCGCCCACAACCTCTGGGGCATAACCCACTTCCTTACCCCTTGGGGGCAGGGAACAACTCCACACTGGCTCCCACAGTGCCCCAGTGGGACTGAGCCCCAAGTGCCCACAGGGTCACTCCCTTGATAACACGCCAGGCTGCCTCCTTCCCTGCCTCACTTTCCCCTTCCCCACCAGCATCTCCTGGAGTCACCTCCCAAATCAGCTACCTGCTCCCAAATCCCAGTCTCAGGGTCTGCTTCTGTGTAGGCAAGCATTTGCTCTGTGCAGGTACCATGCTAAGGGTCTTCCAGACCTTCACTACCCAGCCTTCCCACAGCCCATGGCGCCCTTGCTGGACAAATGAAGAAACTGAGGCTCTGACAACTCAACACGACCACCAAGCAGCCTCTAACCATTACACCACACTGCCTGCCTCTATCTGCCCCTTCATCACTCCCCTTGGGTGGAGTCAGAACTAGCTAACACTGACCTTGCGTCTCCTGGGCAGCTGCTGCCTTCCAGAACCCACTCTTCCATCATCAGCCCCTGTGCCTGTGTGTCCAGCTGAAGAATGGAGCTTAACACCTACCCTGACCACGCCTCTGAGTTGTGAAAGGGAAAAGGACCAATTATGGGGACAATCCTGCGGAAAACCTAAAAGCCACCTAGAGATGAACGCACCTGCCCTTGGGATGATGCCCTGGACAGCAGCTGACGAAGGATTCCACGCTGACGCAGCCAACTGGCCACGCCTGCAGTGGTGGCACCGGGATTCTCACGTAGGAGGACCTTGCAGAGCACTTTGGTTGGGAGGGAGGTCTTGGTGTCTTGGAGCCGCATTGCACAGCAACACCGAATTTCCCTTTCACTGGGTAGCCGGTCCCCTCTCTGGGCCCTGATATCTCAGCCCAGTTTTGCCACAGACATGCTGTGTGACCTTGAGTAAATCACTTAACCTCTCTGAGTCTCAGTGTCCTCATCTACAAAATGGAAATTCAAATAAGTAACTTTTTCTGAACACTTCCTATGCGCCAGGTTCTGGGCTGGCGTCTACATGAGTTACCTCAATAAATTTTCACAATATCCAAAAGACGTGTGTGGATTTCTTATTCCCATTTTACAGATATGAAAGTGAGGCTCAGAAGGGAAAGTAACGTGTCCCCAGTTACACAGCTACTGAGTGACAGTGGGGATTTGAACCCCGGCCTGTCTGGCTGCAGAGGCACGGCATGGATGGCACACATGGAAAGGGCACAGGGGATGACCACAAGGTGGCCACTGGACCCCTCCCAGCCCTGCCTCTCCCCGCACCTGCTCTCCTCCACACACCCCCAATACACACCTTCATCCCTTGGCTTCTGTGACTGCCACATCCTGTATTAGGAGCCCTCTCAGGCCCCTCCCGGGAGCTGGAGGCCCTGCCCCAGGCTCCGCAGCTCTGATGTTGTTCCTAAGGGAAAGGGCCCACCCCCAAAACCGCAGGGGCCCCCCCACTTCCTCCCTGGCGTCTGCTGGCCTGGTCCCACTTGCTCGGGCCGCAGTGCCGGGCCCTATGAGTTTTGGCCAGAAGCCCCTTGCCACCAAGCGTCAAGAGGCCCCCTCCCTCCCCTGAAGAGCTCCTCTGAGCACAAGCCCCAGCCAGGGGGCCGGACTTCCTGCCCTGTGTCCACACACGCAGGCTTCAGAGCAGGTTATAAAGCTTGTGTGGTTCAGGGAGGCTGGAGACGGAGGCCGGGGAGAGATTCCCGACAGCCCCCTTCTTGGAGAGGTAAGAACGGGGAGACTAACACGGGCATTTCTCAAACGTTTCTTGGGCACCTACGATCACGTGGTGAAGTGGTGCATAGACTCTTAGCGCCAGGCCAACCTGGGTTCAACCCAGGATCTGCCACCTCCCACCTGCGTGCCCTTGGGCAGCTCATTTCTCCCCTCTGAGCCCCAGTTTTGTCGTCTGTAAAATGGGCCTGCTGTCAACGATCCTAGACCGTGTGGCAAGGACTCGACGACGTGATGAAGCTTGTGCAGCTCTCAGCGTGGTGCCTGCCACACAGTGAGGACTCGAGTAGAGGGGGTTGGTGCGGATGATTTCAGGCAAGAGACGGAGAGGGCTGGAAGACGGGGGAAGCACCGGGGCAGGAAGGGAGGAGAGACCCGACTTGGGTGAACTGACTGAGAAAAGAGCCTGACATAGGGACTGACTATACGCTGGTTGGATGACTAGAGGGGAAATTTAAGATCAGCCTGGAAGCAAACTACGAATCGTTGATGCCATGAGTACCAGTTTCCCAGGCCCAAATTCACATCTGCAAACTAACAAAAAACTCTCTTTTTCCGTCACCCAATTGAATCACTGTTCTGAGCTCCTGTGCCACCAAGCAGCAACAAATGGACGTTGCCTATTGAAGGCAACGCCAGGACTTCCTCAGGCACCCCAGGGCAGGCTCAGCCACTTTGGGGGTGTCCCTGCTCAGGGGCAGCATGCACCCTCTGGGTGGCTTCTTCATGGTCTGGGTGGCGTTGAGGGGGAGGGGCGCAGCAGTGGTTCCTCCATGGGCCCTGCTTACACTGGCGTCAGCCCTGGAGACGCCTGTCTCCGGCTGGTCCCTGCCTCGCAGTTTCAGAGGCCGTGTCTCCTGGTGGCACACCCTTGCCCACCCGGAGGCCACCCTGCCTGCAGGCTCTGGGGTGCCAACTATGCCCTGCTGGCCACCTGGGTGGGGCTGAAGTTCAGGAATCAGTACAAACGTACTGGTTGAACTACTATGGCGCCTCCCCCAGGACCCCATCCCCGTCCTCCTCAAGATCCAGAAACCTCCACGGTTAAAAAGAAGTACTCCATCTCTTAACCTCTCCCGATGTCACGCAGCCACATTAACAGCTGTTGGGCACACTGCTTGCTAAGCACTTTGTGCATATTGTTGAATGTGTTCCTCACAACAATCTATGTTTACCCCCATTTTACAGCTGAGAAAACTGAGGCACAGAGAGGTCAAGTAACCTGCTCAGGGTCACACAGTCAAGAAGTGGCAGAGCCTGGATTTGAAGCCAATGCATGCAATGGGGAAGGGCACTCCGGGCAGAGGGAACCGAAAGCACTAAGTGAAGTGGTGGGACGTGCAGGCTGTGTTCCAGGACTAGCGATCTGGAGCTAGGGGGAGAGGCGGGGGAAGAAAGCTGGGGAGATGGTTCTAGGAGAGGCAGAGCTGGGAGATGCTGGCAATGGGTCCCCGGTGGGGACATGGAGGTGGCCACTGGGGTTCCCAGCTCTGTGTCTGCAGGTCCTGGCCGGGAGGATGCTGCTGCTTTGGGGGTCACTGCTGTGCTGGGCGCTGCTGTCCCAGGCTCGAGGGGAGGCCCAGCACCTGCTCTTCCTGCGGGTCAGCAAGGACCAGCTGGAGACAGGTAAAGTTTAAGGAGGGGGATGCGGGAGTCAGGAACGCAGGGAAGGGCAGGGGTGGGAGACGGCACCACCTCCCTCCCCAAGGCTTCTCCTCTTCCGGCCTGCCCTTCACCAGCAGTGGAATGGCTTTCCTTCACCCAGGGCTGACCCCACCCTTCCCCTGCTCTAACACTCGCTATGGCTCCCCAGCACCCTCAGGAGAACCTCCAAGCTCCTCATCCTGGCATTCAAGACCCTGCATCTCCAGCCTTTTCCACCACCACTGGCCATGACCACCCCCACAGACTTCCCATCCTCCTTCTGTCTAAAATGCTCCTTCCCTCCTTCCCAACATGGTGAATTCTGACTCATCCTTTACGGCAAAGCTCTAATGGTCCCTCTGATGGGAATCCCTCCTGGCTTCCCCAGGCAGGAGTCTCCTTCCTCTGAGTTCCCACAGCCCTTTGGTGAAGCCTCATCTATGGCCTTATCCAAGAGTATGGTTCTTGTCTTGTCTGTCTGTCTGTCTGTCTGTCTGTCTCCCTCTTGACCATGAGCTTCTTGTTGTCCGTCCACCTCCCAGCCCATTCACCACAGTCCAACCTCACTGATCTTTCGGTTTCATAAACTCACCAGGCTCATTACTACCTCAAGGCCTTTGCACATGCTGTTCCCTCTGCCTACATTGCTCTCCTCCCAGACCTTGCAATAGTGGATTCCTTCGTTTCATTCAGGTCTCGGCTCAAATGCCTCCCCCTCAGAGAGGCTCTCCCTGACCATCTAAAGTAAACCTCACCCCAGTCATGCTCCAACTTGACTCCATTTTATTTTCTTTGTAGCACTTATCACGTTTGAATATTGCCTTGCTCGCTCTTGCTTATCCGAGTGCTCTGTTGTTGTCTGTCTCCCCTCTAGAATGTGCACTCCATGGGCAGGAGCCACACTGCTCCTGTTCCCTGAGCCCAGAGGAGAGTAAGCGCTTAATAAGTACTTGTTGCTATATGACCGTCTAATTGCTGACTCAGAGCCACTCAAATGCTCGTGGGCGTTGACTGAGTGACTGAATGAGGGGTAAACCCCGCACTGAGAAGGGGCTTGTGTCCTCAGACATTTCAGACCTGTTCTCGGAACACCGCATCCTGGACCGCGTGACCAGGATTCCTGTGACGGGGGCCGCGGGTGAGGGCGTCCCCATCCTGGAGCACCTGCCCTTCGTGAGAGAACGCCTCTCCAAGAAGAGCAGTGGGCTTGACCTGTCGCTGGTCGGGGACTTGCTCTCGGGGAGGAGCCTCCCACTGATCGGGCAGCTGCTCCAGGCGGGCGGGTGAGTCTGCAGAGGTTGCCTCTGGCCTGTCCTCCCCCTCGGGCACGGCCGTCTGCCTGAGCCCCGGGGGCTCTCACCTGTCAAGCGGAGCATCGTGGGTGGGGGGCCTGAGTGCCCCTGGAGTGTCTCTGCAGCCTGGAAAGTGCTCAGCAAGTGCATTTTTATCCTTCTCAACCTCTCCACGCCACTTGAAGTCTTCCAAGGAACAAAGCAGAGTCTAAAATAGACCCCAGCCCGGCAGCCCTCCAGCCCTCCACATTCAGCCTGCACTTGTTATTGCAAACTTACCTAGTGTTTTTAAATGAATTGCCAGCATTTTAAAATTGAGAAGGTTGTAATCAAAATCTAGGTTTTCTGATTGTATTAGTTTGTTAGGACTGCCATAGCAAAGTACCACAAACTGAGCGCCTTAAACCACAGAAATTTATTGTGTCACAGTTCTGGAGGCTGGAAGTCCACGATCAAGGTGTCAGCAGGGTTGCCTCCTTCTAGGACTGTGAGAAAGAGTCTTTTCCTCGCCTCTCCCCTAGCTTTCGGTGGTCTGCTGCCCATTCCAGGGGGCACCAGATGAGTCACCAGCTTGTATCCAATGTTCAGAAAGTACATCAAACTCTGGGCTCCTCTCAGCGCAGGGAGGTGCTGGGACCTGAGGCCACCAAAGGGAGCAGAAGGCTCGTGTCCTCCTCCGGGACACTCACCAGGGCAGAGGGCCCCTGAGTGGGTGGTGATGGGATCACAGGCCATCACGCTTTCTCTGAGTCTCGCCTGCTCGCTTCTCTTCTGCTTGAATCCAGATGGGTTAAATGCGCATAGCCAGACAGCTCCTCCCCTGTTTTCTCCCCCTTTTGTCGAAGGCAACATGGAGGCCTAGAGAAGGGAGGAGACTCGCCCAGGTCTTCAAGGCTTGGGAACTAGAGCCCAGTGCTCTGCAGCTGGGCCGGGGTCGGGGAGGGGTCGTCCCAAAGCTGCCCCCACCCCTCCTGGGGTCCGCCCCTCTTCTCGTCAACCCAGACACACCCACTCTGCAGAGTCACAGCAGCCTTCCCAGGCCACACCAACACCCCCACCCCTCTCACAGGTTGGTCATAGAAGATGCCAAAGGACCTGAGGTCACCCTGCAGATCCTAAGCGACAGCCTGCTGCAGGTCACACTGAAGAGCAAACTGTACCTCTCACTCCACAGGTGGGTGCACCAGGCGCCTCCTCCCCACCTCCCTCGGTGCAGGCAGCCCAGCCCCTCATTGCCGTAACTCAAGGGGCAGCCATGCGGGGCTCGCAAAAGCCTCCTGCTTATGTCACCATGAGGGTCACAACAATCCTTTCCACTTGGGCATGTTTCAAAGCATTTTTCCCAATGGGAAACTGAGGCACAGAGGGGGAGAGGGACCTGCCCAGGATCACACAGGGAGCCAGCGGCAGAGGCTGAGATAAAACCCTCTGACTGCCATGTCGGGGGACACGTGCCCCACCTGAGTAAAAGGAGGGTGCACTAATGGGATGACTTGAGGAGGGTCTGGACTCCAATCCCACTGGAGCAGGGGCATCTGCTCCCTGAGCCTCAGTTTCCTCGTCTACAAAATGGGTGTGCTCAGGTCCCGACTGCACTTGACCGCTGTGAGGGTTCACTGCCGACCTGAGAGTTCAGACCGCTCACTAAACTGTGGACGAGGATGCCGGCCTGGGGTTGCAAACACAACAGCCAACAGAGGGAGTGATACGGGTGGTGTTTGCACATGAAACAGGAATATTCTTAAATGCCCTTTAGGAATATGTCCGCTTTTTCTTGTAAAATGTGGCTTTCTTTGTTTAGCTCCCCTTTTTAACAGAGAAGTGAGCAGAGAAATATTTCTCTGCTAGGTGATAAACGTCATCCACCTTGTAATGATGTGCAGTAAAAATGCAACTTGACTCTTGGCCCCATGGGGATGGGAGCAAACCGGGGAGCACGTGGCCCATCTCAAGGTCACCATCAGCCCCTGGTGATTGCCACCCTGTGAGGACGCTGGCCCGGTGTTGTCAGATCTTTCAGGTTTTCCAAAGTGTGAACTCGGTATTGTTAATGCACTCTCCTAGTTTTTCATTTGAGCCCTCCAGGCAACTGCAGGCCACCAGCCTGCGACTTCTGGCCTCGGTCCTGGGCTGTGGCTTGGAGCCTGCCTAGACACACCGCCCTTACAGGATCCTGCGGCTCAAAGTCATCATGAACATCCGCATCGGGGTACGGCTGGAACAGACAGGGACCAAGACCCGCGTGGCCTTTGAGGAGTGCCACACCCCCCCGGGATACCTGAGCATCGAGGTTCTGGAGCAGTGAGTACCTGCCCACTCCCGCACTTCCACTGGGCAGGGCCGGGCCCAGGCCTTCCTTCCTTCCTGCTGCTCATCCCATCATGCAGACTCAGGGCTGGGGCTGCCTCTCCCCAGCCTAGTCGTCTACAGGGACCAAAGGCAGCAGGAACGGGGTCACCTCCAAGGCCACAAGCTGCACACACCACCCATCAGCGTCTCCTGCCTCCACGGTGAATGTCATGGCTAAGAGCATATAGCCACCCAGGTCCAATCTCAGCTTGGCTGCTTCCTATCACTGGGGCCCTGGCCAAGCTATTTGACTTCTAGGAGCCTCAGTTTCCTCACCAGTAAAATGGGATCATTCACAGAACCCAGCCAGCATGGAGTGGTTGTGGGGAAGAGATGAGCCAACCCATGTGACCCACTTAGCACAGAACCCGCCACATAAGGTGGCCACTATCTATGATTCTTATATTTACCCAGCACCAAAGCTACCTCCTCCAGGAAGCCTTCCAGGACTTCCACTGCCAGGTGTGATCTCTCCCTCCTTGAAAATCGCAGAGACCTTTATCAGAGACAGAAACAAAGAGCCAGAGGCAGAGAGGGAGAATCAGGAAGAAATAAAGAAGAGGAGGAGAAAGTCAGGGAGAAAGCAAGCAAGAAGGGGGGAAAAAACAGAAAAGGAAAGGGGGGAGAGAGGAAAGAGAAGAGACAGACACCAGGCAAGAAGGAAGCAGACACTCCGAGCTTCCAAGTTACACAGGTCCATCAGGGCCTTCCCCAGCCCTGCCCTGGATGGCTCCTCTGGCCTCAGTCTCCCCTTCCAAGGTGCCTCAGACCCCACCTGCTCTCCTCTGCCCCTAGGATGAACCCCTTCCTGGTGAACGAAGCTCTAAAGTTGGTGACGGGTGTCCTGGACGAGAAGCTGCCCTTCCTCCTGCAGAAGATAGTGAGTTGCTCATCCCCTCGTCCCCTGGGAGAGGGGTGTGACCCCAAGGGAGAGCCCTTCGACCTCACCCCGACCCCAGCGAGAATGCCCTCCTGCCTTCCCTCCAGCTGTGCCCCGCGGCCACAACCCTGCTCAGCTCACTGCTGGAAGACCTGCTGTCCGTCGCTCTGCGTACGTAGCTCCTGACCAAGGAAGGGGCTCATCTGCTGTCCCCCTGCTGTGTGCCAGGAACGCTTCTAGGCTCTGGGAACACAACGGGAAACAAAACAGGCAAAGCCTGCCCACAGGGAGCCTATTTTCTAGTGGGGGAGGAAAAGGGCATATGCCTTATGACCTTGGTAAGTCATTTGCCCCCCAAGCCTCAGTTTCCCAGCCTGTAAAGTGGGATCAGACATAGGCCCACAGAGTGGATTGTTGCGATAATATATATAACCTGGCACAAAGTTATCATCAATAAACGCTCATGGTCACAAGAAGCACAGGCCCAGCCCATGAGGGACTGAAAGCTAAGCAGAGAGGGAGAACAAATTTCTCCGTGTTTGCTGCCTCCCCATCTGCCCCCCAGAGGGGCTGAGCCCCAGTTTCGTTTCCTCATCGCAGCCCCGACCATCTCGGGTCCAGAAGACTTCCAGTACCACGTCACCAGCACGCAGCTCACGGAGGAGGCCATCCTGATGGAAGTCCAGGTGAGCCAGCCCCCTGGCCAGGGCACACCCTCCCGGGACGTCCACCGGTCTCGGGGAGGACGGGCAAAGAGGAAAACAAGGGGGGGCTCCTCTGGACAGGAGGCACAACAGGGAGGGGGGAGGGAGGAGCAGGTGAAGGAGGCGGCGGGGGAGAGGGAAGGTGGAAGGAGCAGAAAGGGGAGAGCCGCAGGCCCCTGCCCTCGGGAGCTCGTGCTGAGCCCGGGGCTCCTGCCTCAGCGCAGGGGAGCAGGACGGGCCGCAGGGCTGGGTGTCCCACGAGCGAGCGTCGGGCTCCAGCAAAAGGGCAGGCGGGCGGCTCGGGAGCTGCAGGACCCTGCGTGAGGAAGGGCCCCTCGGATGGGGAAACCGAGGCCCAGGCTCCTACCTAACTGCCCAACTCCCGTCCCCAAGGCATGGTGGGAGGGGGGTCCGGAGGCCAGGAAGGGTTGAGCGGACAGGAAGGAGGCGCTGTGAACAAAGGCGCAGAGAAGGGAATGCGGTTGAATGAGGGAGAAGCAAGAAAACGGGGCTCTGGGGCCCAACCCAGCTCAGCGACCCCCTGGACTTCGGTGTCCTCGGGAGGTGACAGCTCCCACCTTGTGGCGCTGCTGTGAGGCTGACACGAGACCGTGCAGTAAACGGGCAGCGCTGTGCCAGCACAGTCAGCCCTCGCTGTCCCAGCTGGACCCGGCTGCTGCCCAGGGAGGCTGGCCACACTGACCTTCTCCTTCCTCTTCACATCTCTGAAGCTCGTGACCCCCTGCGGCCCAGGCCAGAGGGCCCCAAGGCCTGACCACCTGGCCCCGCAGCCCCTCCCACAATTAGCCCAGGGCAGCATGGCGGACCTGGCCTTTTGGCTGGAAGCATACAATGACATCCTGTCCTGCCTCTACACCGGCAAGGAGATCCACGTGGACCCCCAGGACTCCACGGTGAGTGCTCGAGGAAGGGGAGTGGGCGGGGAGGGGACACATAACGTAATTGCTCTGTTTTAAAGAAACCAAGGCCTAGCTGGCAGAAGTGCTTTCTGAGTGGGCCTAGGTAATTCACTTCGCCTCTCTGGACCGCACATGGAAAACTCCTATTCAGCTTTCAGAACCCAGCATAGAAGTCCCCTCCTCTGGGAAGACTTCCTTGAACACCCAGGCTCCTTTGTTGTTCCTCTCTTCATAACACTTATGAATTTATTTATGCTGCAAATATTTATTGAAGGCCTACTGTGTGCTGGGCCCTGTGCACACAGGGTCCCTGCCCTTGCAGAGCTCAGAGTCTAGTGGGGGAACAGACTGAACAAGAAAAGAGTCAGATAAATAAAATAATTTCTTATTTACAATAAGCAGAGCAATGGATCAGTAAGTGATTGGTGGACATGAGAGGGCTACCCTGGACACTGCAGTCGGGGAAGACATCTCTGGGGAGGTGGCCTGAATGGTGACGAGGAGGCACACATAGAGGTCTGCAAGAAAAGCAAATTCCAGGGTCGATGAGGGGATCAGATGAGGTAGAAATCCAGATCCATCCCTGCTCAAAAGCCCCCAGCAGCTCCTCAACACACTCTGAACAGAATCCAGTCTCCTCTCTGCAGCTCCCAGGGCCCTGCATGATCTGGCCCCTGCCCATCTCTCCAACCCTGTCTCCTCACCCATACACTCCAGCCTCACAGGCAGCTGGTTCCCACCTCAGGGCCTTTGCACATGCTGGTCTCTCTGCCTGAACATTCTTCCCTCCACTGCTGGTCTCAGTGCGAATGTCATCTCCTCAGAGAGCCTCTCCTTAGTGGCTACATCTAAGTAAGACTTCTCTCCCCTGCATTCCTTCCCTCTCTGTTCTTTTCCCTTCAAAACACTGATCACACTGCATGTATGTGTATGAGTAAAGTTATATATATACACATATACACACTGTATGTATATTTGTGTGTTTGTTTAACTTTGCATGTTCAGCGTCCCCCCACTTTAAGGGCAGGGACTAAGGATAGTATACTATGCGAAGGGCATACGATGGTGCTCAGTAAATGCTGAAATATGAAATCCTAAGATCCACATCTGAAGAGATCTCATGTTATCGCTCCATTTGCTACATGAGGAAACCAAGGCCCAGAGAGGGAAAGTGACTTGCCCAAGGTCAGCCAGTAGGTGGGATCAGGAGTGGAGCCAGGTCTCGGGCCTCCCCACGCTGTTCCCTCCACCCCCACAGGTGTGGCAGATGTGTCTCACGTCTGAGACAGCTAGACGTGAACCCTGGAATTCTACATCCACAGAGATTCTTGCAGCAGTGGGCAAGGGCATATGTGCAAGAGCTCTTCGCAGCGTCATTTGTTGTAGGGTGAAAAATAAAGTTGACCTAGGTGTCCATCAATAAGGAATGGTAAAACGAGTCAGCTTATGTTCATACAAGGCAGAACACTATGCAGCTGTTAAGAAGAATGGGGTTGTTCTATATGTGCTGACACTGAGAGGAACAAACAAGGTGCAGGACCGTGTGTTTAAAATGTTCCCATCTATTCATGTTTATATGTGTGTAGAAAAAAGTCTTGTCAGGATCTACTCCAAAATGTCAACAGTGGTTACCCCTGAGAATAGGATTTAGGGGAAAAGGGGAAGAGGTGGTGGGGTAGACTTTTACTTTTTACTTTGTACATTTTTGTAATGTTTTCTATAATGATTTATGATTTTCAAAAATCAGTGGAGCACAGACAGACGGACAGAAATGTGATAAAGCAAGTGCAGGACAGCGTTAATAGAAGAATCTAGGTGATAAGTACATAAATGTTCTCTATAGAATTCTTTCAGCTTTGCTGTAAGTGTGGCAATTTTCACAATAAAATGTTAAGGGAAAAAACCATTGAAACAAAAAAGAAATTAACCTTTTCAGATAAGCCATGATGAGAAACCAGGTGAACGGCTCCTCCCATGCTGAGCCTGAGTGCAGGTGGCGCCCCCAGTCGGGGACGACCACATCCCGTTGAACCCCATGTTGAACCCCATTCACACGCGCCGCCGAGCCCGCTCAGAACGGACCTGCAGATTCTAAAGGCCAACACATGCTTTGTCCTTTCTCCAGGCTGCCGACCTCATTCAGCTGTTGTCGCTGCGAGAGCCGCAGCCCGGGCCCCAGGTGGGTGCGCGGCCGGCTTCTCCCCAGCACCCGGGCCTGGATCGCAGGAGAGACTCGGGGGCGGGGGCGGGGTGGTCGGGCCACGTGCGCATGCTCCGTCGGGCCAGGGTTTCCTACCGCGGACTCCAGAGGTCCCTGCTCACCTTCCCGGGTGCCGTGAGGGTGGAAGGAGAGGGTTCGAGTAAGGCTCTTGGTCCACGGCCCCACCCAGGTGACCGCGGCCGGTGGCTGTCGTTACTACCCGCTACTGAGCAAGACCGCGACCCCGCTAAGGCACGCCTGCTGAGGCGGCCAGTCGTGCAGGCGGTAGATAACGGCGGGCCGCGACCGTGCCGGGCCCCGCCCCCTCGTCGACCCCACCCTCAGCGCTGTCACCCCTTCTCACACGGGAGCAAGCGGAGGCTCAGCAGGTGAACCCGCTTGCCCAAGCTCCCAGTGCCCAGCAAGTGGCAGAACCGGGATTTGAACCAGGTCTCGGCCTGCAAAACGCACGCTCCACGTCCTCTCTCCGAAGGCCCTTAGAATATGGCACCTGTGGACAAACAATAATAATAACAATAACCACAAGAGCAGCGAGTACACAGCATCACTAGGAGCTGGGCTCTGCTCTGAGCTCTTTACCTAAATTAACTCATTTAATCTCCACGACAGCCTTATGGAGTAGGTACGATTATTATCCTCGTTTTACAAGTAGGAAAAGTGAGACACAGAGAGATGAAGAAACTTGTCTCAGGCCACACAGCTTGCAAGTGGTGGGGCTGGGACTCTGGCTCCAAAATCTATGCTCTTACCTGGCGTGAATGCCCGGGAGAAGGAGGATGTAATCTCACCTCACAGCAGCTCAGGGAGGGTAAGTGACCTTCCCAAGGTCACACAGCAAGTTGCTGCAGAACTAGGATAAACACTCAGGCGCCTGACTCCTAAGATGGTCTTGTTCCCAATCCTCCAAGCTGGGGGCCAAGGAATGCCATCTTCCGTCCCTGCACCTTTTCTGCTTTAACCTCATTCAGACTTCTAGTCAGCCCAGAGGGAGTGTGGGCCTGACCATCAGCGCCCCTGACCCCCCTACCGTCCGCCTGGACGGCTGCACAGCCACGGTCATCCAGCCAGGCTCGTTGGTGCTGCGGGGGCCCAGCAACACGTCCTCTGTCTCGGTTTCCTGGGTGAGTAAACCTCGCAGTTCTTTGTCCCCAGGGTCCTGGGTCCCCTTGAGGGCCTCCAGGGCAGGCTGGCTGAGGGCAAGGCGACAGAGGGCAGCGCAGACCTCACCACCCCGCCACCCGCTAATGTTCAACCAGTCCACCCCCAAATAGCTGCCCCTGTTGTGGAAACTTCTACTTCAACACCTGCTCCCCTCGGTGCAGCCCCCAGCCCTCCCCAGGGACGTCCTCAGCAGCTAAAGGTTGAAGGTTTGCCTCTGAGACCTCTGCTCCGTGTCCTTGCAGGGTGGTGGTTAAGGCTTTTGACCGTCTCCCCTGGACCGGGCTGCATCGAAAGCCCTTGTCCACAAAACCAGGAGAACGATCAGAGAAACGGAGTTCACGGAGGGGCTAACTGTGTCTGTGCTCTCTACTCCCCGAGTGAGGTGACCCAAGCCAGAGAGGGAAGACCCTGGGAGGAATTCCGGGGAAATACAGCCCCCAAAGTTTCAACTTCTCTATCCAGAGCCCCCTCGGGATTCCTAGTTCCCAGTCTACAGACCTTAAATTGGGAAGGGGCCTCAGATAAGGGACAGGAGGGTCGCCCACCCCAGGTGAGGCCAGTAGCATCTGGTGTGTACAGGATGCTGGGCTCTTAGTCAGCATGAGTCTGTGGCCGAGAAACCGGTCATCTCTGGCTGGTGGTGAAAGTCCTGTTTCTGGTTTATAAGGTGACCGTGCAAATTATGAGGCCCATAGACAACTCCCTCAAAACCAAGGGGTCCTCTGGCTTCCAGCAACAGTGATTCTATGGCCTAGTGACTTGCTGCAAAAGGCTGTCCCCGCACTGAGCTGAGCCCTCTCCCCTCGTATCCAGCCTAGCAGCCCCTGCCCCCCAGGAGCACCCAGCACCCACCCGTGCCCTCTCCTGTGGCACACCACACATGCACGATCTGAACACATGGGAACAGCAGCTGGGGCAGAGGGAGAGGACGGGTGAGAGGGGCCAGCCCTGGACAAGGGGCGGGGGCGAAGGGAGTCGGTCCGGTGGAACATAAACTCCTCTCCAGTTCTGACCTAACTTCAATTCCTCATAGAAACTCCTTTCAAAGGCTGCGTTTTCCTCGAGAAATCAGGAATTAAAACTCCAGTTCACTCCAAACAGGTGATTTTTTTTGGTTTTTGATGTTGAGAAAAAACAAGATGGCTCAGAGAGAGAGAGATGGGGAGGGAGAGAGTGTGGCTAAGGGGTGCGAGCTTCCACGCCTGCTGTCAGCTGAATGGAGTGGTTTATGGGGGGGGGGCAGGGAGATAGATAGAGGGAGGGAGGGAGAGGAAGGGAAGGAGGGGTGTTGTGACTCGCACTTACTGAGCAGTGCACCCCCCAAGCTGCTGCCGTGACCTAAAAGGGTGACCTCTCCTCTCTGGTAGCTCCGCGGTCATCCTGCGCCCTCACCCCACCGGCCTTGCAATTCAGGTGAGTCTCTTTCTTTAGGCTTGTCCTCCCCCTGGTCCTGAAGGACCGGTCAGCAGGCCCTGGGTCATGTAGGGGTTGAAAGACTCACTTGCTTTCTATCACTGATCTCATCCTGCCCTGGACTCCCCATGCTCCCTGGGGTGGGGAGCCCCCAGGACTTAAACATGTCCGTTTCATTCTTTTGTGTGCCCAGCCTTGTCTTAGGTACCTGGGGCTGTCAGTGAACAAAACAAATGTCCCTGCTCTCGCGCAAGGTCAGATAATAAACAACATACACAGAAAGGTAAATTACATAGTATGCAGGCAGGCATCATGCTACAGAAAAAGCAGACGAGGGGGCAGGGCATGGGAGTGTGGGAGGGAGGAATGTTAAACAGGAAGGTCAGGGAAGGCCTCGGAGAAGGAGAGCATTTGAGCGAAGACTGGAGGAGGTGAGGGAGGGAGCTGGGGGATACGGAGAAGAGGGGACCCAGGGCCCCGAGGCAGGAGTGTGCCCAAGTTCAGGGCCAGAGGGGCTGGAGCAGAGGGGCTGAAGGGAGGTCAGAGGGTGAGAAGGGCCTCCTAGTGGGGGCTGGCCTTTCCTAAGTGAGATGGAAGCCCATGGAGGGTTCTGAGCAGAGGAGGAGCAGGCTGGAGGGGCCGCGGTGGGAGCAGGGAGGCCATGGGGCAGCTGGCAGAATGACGCAGAGGGTGATGAGGCTTGGACGAGGCGGTGGCAGGTGGCCAGTGCAGGATGTATTCTGAAAGCAGGGCTGGCGGGATTTCCCGGATGTGCAGAAGGAGCGAGAGAGGTGTCCAGGACGACGCCAGGATCTGTGAGGCACCTCCTCATCTGCAGGTTGAAAGCAGCCTCTTCCAGGAGAACACAGTTTGGGCCCCAGCAGGGCTGCGTGTCCCCTCTGTGGGTTTCCTCGCCCTTCAGCTTCCCAGCGTGGCGTCCTAAGCCACCCGTGCCTCCTGCACCCATGTGTGGCAGTGTGGGGACCCTGCTGTAGTGTGGCTGGTCTGGCCCTCCCTGCCCCACTGCTAAGGAGTCCACGGGGTGAGCACGTGGTCTCTGCCCCCAGGGGCTGTTCTTGCTCCTTCACTGGAAGAGCTTTCCACTGCCCCTGCCTGTCTGAGGGAGGCCCCATAAAGTGACATCCCACCACCCTCCACTTCTATGGGACTGTGAGCCTCGTGCTCTAGCTCTACGGGGGGGAAGGCTGCAAGATGGAAAAACAACAAAAGGATTGAATGAGAACATGTACCTGGAAACACTTCAAAATTATCATCCCTGTTACCTCAGGCCTTGTTCTGGCCCGACTTGTGTAGAATCCCAGGGATGATCCTAAAGATCGTCTTCCCAGGTCAGGAATCCTTTCTGTGACATCATCATAGGGTGGTCATCCAGACCAGGGCTGTAGTGTATGGTTGGACAGGTAGTGCACTGTACAAGCCACCCACATCACAGACAACACAGACATGAATATGTTTATGACAGTCTCTCAACAGATGGGAAAAGAATGTCTTAAAGAAAGGGAGTCCTTTCCCAATCTGTCCAAATGGGTTGGAGCAGCCCTGATCATGACCTCTTGAACATCCCTGGTGACAGGAGGCTTGCTATCTCAATGAGACAATTCCTGTCCCATTACCAGGCCGCTCCCAGCATTGGAGAGCTCCTCCTTGGACTGACCCAAAGTTGGTCCCTGTGAAGCCCTGGCCCTGGGTTCCTCTGGCCCAACCTATTTCCTCTTCCCCTGGGCTGCCCTGCAGGGATATGAAGATAGTCAGTGACCCGGGGTGAGGGCGACTCTTTCCCCCATCCCCTCACTAATTTGGTCATCTGGCTCCAGTGCCCGTTAAAAGTGGAGTCCCCAGGGCTACTCCTGAGCTCCTGTGGGCACTGGAGTCCCCCCATTCCCGTGGTCAGAATCTGCCCACCCGCTGAAGGGACCCGCCTCTTCCCCTTTCGTCTGCTGTAGGGAGGACTCCTAGAGGCCTTTGTCCTAGAGCTTCTGAAGAGGACGTTTTTGCCCCATCAGAACGGTGAGCCCCACTGTGTTTCTTCTCATGCCCACACACCAGGCAGTATGGAGCAGCATCGACCGTGTCCGAAGCTTTGCACAGACAGCTGGCTGCTGCCTTGTCCCCTGGGGTGGGTTAGGAATTGCCGACGGGCAAGGCAAGAGGAGGCAGGGTAGAGGCTGAAATCTGAGGTGTGGGGTCGAGGGGGTGGGGATGGGGCCATCTGTGCCCTCCCATCCTTCGCCCAGGCAGCTGGTGGTGATGGGAGCTCAGAGTGGGGCGAGCGGCCGGGAAGGGCTCCTGGGGGAGGTGGGTTAGCATTGTGGAAAGTGAGGACAGAAGGCCCTCTGAGCGGTGGAGCCCACCACTCACGGCTCTAACGCCTGCAGGGCCAGCCAGGTGACATCCGCGAAGGAAGCAGCCCAGGCCGGGCCCGTGGCAAACACGCCGCCTTAAGTGGGCACTGAGCTCAGCCCAGTCAAATGTCACCAGCAGGGCAGGTATTCTCATCTTTGAGAGATGCCAGAAAGCTGAACTTTTTGAGGCATCACCTCCATCTTTAGACATCAACAACAAATTCAAACTTCTCCAAAACACCACTGTCCTGGTTTGGGCTCCTCAGAAGCAGACCCTGAGATAAGGGAGTGCGGGTAGGTTCTGGGAGGTGGTCCCAGGAAGCCGGAGGGGCGTGGGAAGTGAGTTCTGCGGGAGGGTGGAGCCTAGTCAGGCTCCTCTGCTCCACAGAACTCCCCGCTTCCTCGCCCACCTCCCCTGAGGCAGTCTGAGTGACACTCGCCCATCTACCCACAGCACCTGTGTCCCCAACCAGAAGGAGAGCTGCCTGAGGGCAGGGACCCCTGTCTTTGTTTTTCGTTGTGTTCCCTGCACACTGTCCAGTGCCTCCCACCCAGGAGACACTTGGGAAGTACATGTAGGATAAACAGCTCAGACCTTACTCACCTCTGAGAAATCACCTAGCTCAGCCTCCTCATCTTTCAGTTGGGCTCAGAGAAGTTAAGTGACTTACCCAAGGTCACACAGCAAGTTTCTGGCAGAGCTGAGCCCGGAATCCTGGCCTCTCGTTTCCCCAACAGGAGCTTTTCTCTGTTCTCCAGCTCGATGATTCATGTTAGGACTGTAGAATGAGGCTAGAAGAGCAGGCAGGAGCTCAAATACTGGCCAGGCTAAAGGGTTTGCCATCTGTTCTGGGGCCCATGGTAACCAGGGAAGGTTCTGGGTGCGAAGTGAGCACATTTGTGTTCGAGAAGGGGGACCGATTGGCAGTGGGGGACAGTGGTGACGGAAGGTCCAGCAAGGCGGCCAGATTGAGAGTCCAGGTGGGCAAGGATGCAACCTGACCTGGCATGGGGCGAAGGAGTGGGAGAAAGGGTCCCCCCCATGCCAGTGCCTACCATGGGCAGCTCCCTCCATAAGTATATCTTCTATCCTGGACCATAGAGAGCATGGCGAGGGTCAAGAGATGACCCAGGGGCTAGGCCTGACCCGGGAAGCCTATATTGTCCTGCAGGGTCTAAACACCCAGGCCAGTGGGATGCACAATGCCAGGGGTGCTGCTCACACTAGAGTCCAGCCCAAAGCTCCCCCACAAGGAGAAAAAGAGCAGGGCCAAAGCCACTGAGGAAATACAGGAGGACTGCCTGCAAGAAGCAGCCTACGGGTGAGAGAATTGGCAGGAGAGAGATTCATGAAAGCCTATGCTGCATGCAGGGTCATCTGATCCCAACGCAGAGAGAGGATTGAAATGAGGAGGGTCCAGGGGCCGGCCCAGTGGTGTAATGGTTAAGTTCGCATGCTCTGCTTCAGCAGCCTGGGGTTCGCAGGTTCGGATCCTGAGCACAGACCTACACCACTCCTTAAGCCGCGCTGTGGCGGCATCCCACATACAAAACAGAGGAAGACTGGTGCAGATGTTAGCTCAGGGACAATCTTCCTCACCAAAAAAAAAAAAAAAGAAATGAGGGGGTCCAGAGGCTGGGAGCTGAGAGGCTGGTGAGGAGGCCTCTGAAGATCAGAGGACAGACAGGAGACCAGAGGCACCTGTCCCTCTTCTTCCATCCCGTCCCCCCACCTAACTGGGCCGGAACAACACATTAGGCCAGCAGGGGGGTATCAGACCTTTCCCTGAGCCCAGAGTGATGACGGGGGTGGACGGGGGTAGGGTGCAGGTCAGTGCAGAGGGGGGAGCGGGAGGGCCCAGGCCAGGCCCTCAAGGGCAAATCTCAGAAACGCAGTTTGCCAAAAATCAGCTGGCCAAAGGGTTAATTCTCTGAAACTCAATTTGCAAAATGCCCAATTTTCCAAGTTTACCACATTTACCAATTTACCAAAAACTTACTCTGACTATTTTTCATATATTTGATAAATGAGTATGTTCATGAATATTTTCTTTCTTTGATATATTTAATGGATATTTTCTTATTAATATAACCAAATTTCTAGTGTTTTAAGGTTAATTTTTCAGTTAATACTGACTTCTTTCTAATCCTTTTCTGAGACATTTTCTGTTTCTGCCAACATTTTAGCCTTTTCAGGAGCGCGTAGCGTTTTCAGCCATTTCTCTCGATTAAACAAGAAGAATAAAATTCATTAATAGATTGCGAAGAAGCTTTCAACAAATTGAACATTCCTTAAAATGCTGCTAAGAAGACTGTCTTCATAAGAATGTGTTCACGGCTACTGAATACATTCGAGA